GTGCCTTGGCGTGCGCTGTCGAAAGACGGATGAGCGTCTCCAGCGTGCGGGCCGTCATCGGCGACGTCTTCCGCTGGTTGCCAGTCAGCTCATCGTTTCGAAGCGCCGAGTATGTGGCAACAATGTGGTCCGCAGCGCCTTTCGTCAGGACAGGCTTGATTCTCGACTTGGCGTACTGGATGTACTTCTTGATGAACGGGATGCTCAAGACCTCAACATTGCGCCCTTTACCGCGGCTTGTCGTGATCATACCAGCGTGGAGCATGACGTTGAACTTCTCGTACACCTCCGTCGGGCGATTGGGATCCCGGCTCTCTTCAAGTCCGACACCCAGGGTCTGAGTAGCCTGCTCACGGACAGGAGCACCCTCCTCAGTGCCGGGTTCACGGTACCGATGCATTCGCAACACGTGCTCGGAGACCAGCCTGTCGCTCGTATCATCGGGCTCGTCGGTAACGACGAACAGCAGATCGAAACGAGACAGGAGAGAGTCCGGAAGAGCAATGTTCTTGTGCGGATCTTTATGCGGGTCGTACTGTCCATAGATTGGGTTCGCCGCCGCGAAAACACTGCACCGCGCATTCAGAGACGTGTGAATGCCCGCCTTCGCGATGGTGACGGTCTGCTGCTCCATCACTTCGTGGATAGCAACACGGTCCACATCGCTCATCTTGTCGAATTCATCAATACAGACCACTCCGCGGTCAGCCAGCACCATCGCACCAGCTTCCAGCCTTCTCTCGCCAGTCTCTTTGTCTGTGGTCACAGCAGCCGTGAGACCGACGCCGGAGGAGCCTCGACCCGTGGTGGCAATCGCAAGCGGCGCCGTGTTCAGCACGAAGCGCAACATCTGCGACTTTGCCGTCGAGGGATCACCGACCATCAAGATGTTGATGTCACCACGTAGATGGGTTCCGTTGTCGAGATTCTTCTCCACACCCCCAAGCAACATGAGAAGGATGGCCTTTTTGATATAGTCGTGTCCGTAGATACTAGGCGCAAGCGATTGGGACAGAAGATCAAAGACATTCTTCTTCTTCGCAATTTTGTTGATGTTGCGAATATCCGTATCGGTAATCGTAGCCTGAGCAATTCCTCCTCCCGACTTTGACGACAGTTGGATGATGTTGTTCGCAATGATAACCGTGCGGAACGTCGACGGCCCCGAGCCAGCTCCTCGGTTTCCAAGAGTGCGGTAAATACCAACAAGCTGGATTCTGTCTCCTGGTTTGGCTCGGTCGACCAGGTCATCATCCAGGATCACATCCACTCCACGGGGCAACTGGCCTGCAGGAGCCCGTTCAGGCATCTCCTGAATCGAGATGGTTTGGTGGTCCATGTAGGTGCAATATCCATATTCAGTGATGAGCTAGAGATGACATCAGCCATGAGATCCCGTCCCTTTGTCATATCCATCAAATCTTACCGGGTTCTTCTCCTCGTCTTCTGTGGGATAAACGTTCAAGCTCGTTGCTCCGCTGGCAGTCATAGTCTGATCCCGATACTTCCGCGCGTAGAAACGATTTTTCTTTTCGCTATAGTGTACACTCTGAATTATTTTGGGCCGCACGAGAGAGCACTTGGTAACAATGCCTTCTAGCGACACCATCTTATTCAAGTGCGAAGAGCCTAGCGTCCGCGGGTTGCAGGCATTCTCTCCGAAGGCGCCAACGTAGGCACAGTAGTACGACTGGAACAATCATTAACACATATTCCCCAAAAGATCAGCCGTGACGAACGCACCACATCATCGGCAGTTTCTCTCGCTGGCCGATTGGGCAGAGTCTTAATGACTTCCTTGAGAGCCCTATCAAAAGCTTGCGTATACTCGAACGGCGAATTAAGAAGCCTGTTTCAGTGTCAAATGGCGTTCTTTCTTTTTGCATCGTATTGGAATTTCGGAATTTACCCGTCCGCCAATTCACGGTTATGTGCTCTGATTTCGTCGATGCTGACCTGCACATACACAAATGGCCCATCAGAAAAATGATCCACAAAACTCTCTATATTGCCAGGTAGAGGCTACTTACCGTAAGCCGCCGCTGGCCCCGATTGAGCATCAACACAATATCCGCCCGATAACTGCACTCAGTCAGACTCGTCAAGTTCTCGAAGATAGGACGAAAGGGAGAATCTGAAGGAGCAAGCAGGCTAACCTCCGTGCACGCGCATCGGCTGCAATTTGAGAAATTAGCAATGCACATTAGAGTGTATCGATGTGAGAGAGAGAGAGAGCATACTTGGATCAAGAAATTCAGTCGCTGCTCGCACTCGATCCTGTGCGGCCTCATCGCGGAGGCGGACCCCGTCCATGGTGAAAAGGGTTGGCGGGGATCAAGGCAGTCGAAATGTACAAAAATATAAACCAATCCAGTGAGAAGAAACAAATTTCTCCGTCACAGGGAGACGGTGCGGTTGGGGTTGACAGAGCTCTTTTTACTGAGACGGTGGTTTCGAGGGGGTCGCCGGGGACAATTTGGAGCACGCGTGCTCCAAAAAGGGTAGAATGGCGACGCGTCCGCTGCGGGCGACGCGTTGGTCGCGTTTTCCTTGTGGGCTTGGCAGCTTAGTCATCAAGCATCACGCCTGTGTCAGAAAAGGGCAATTGAACCTGCAAATTCAGAGCAGTTACAAACGAAATGATTGTACTGTACACTTTGTGTCTGAGATCAGGAAATCATGCAAAACTAACATCCTAAACTTGCATCATCCAACACAGTAGCCAAGGAATAGATCTCTTCAACTGTACACATGCATATCTAAAAGATACTTGAAGTCTAATACATCGTCTGTAAATCAAAGAATACCGTGAACACAAAAACTCCTCCTCAACGCAAAAATCGCCCGCGGAGAGGTATTATATAAACTAATGTACAGAAGAAAAACATGCATCGTCGTGGGACACGTCATACGCGTCGAATATAACCGCAAAATCACCTTCACTTTAATTCATTCTGTTCCGATCCTAGAATAGGACTTCTTCGTCAGGCCACCGCCGTCTCACGAAGATGGACGATCGTCGAGACGATCTGAATCTTGATCTCTTGTCGTTTGGCCGGGTGCTTTCCTTGAAACAGAGTGATTCGTTGAAACACCAGGAAGGACGTCCGGAGCAATCTTTGGCGGTATGGCTCGCTTGTCCTCTTCTTCGGGCTCATCCTCCGAGAGAGGATCGATGCCCAGACGTCGACGCCTCGCCTCCAGAAGGGTTTCAGCCTCGATGTCCTGCTCGTCCTGATAATCGAGAGTCCGCGGCGGGGTTTCGGGCAATTCGTCGCCAGCCAGACTCTCACCTCGGCCAGATGGCGGTACGTCTGCTGATACCTCTTCTAGAGACAACTGGTCCTTCTCTGGATCGGTGGCGGTGCGCTGTTCACCCCCAACGCCGAGAACGCCGCCGGTCCACACGAATTGTTCCTGCGGCTTCATCTCCTTGTCCCCTTGCTCCACCTGGTGGCGGAGCAGGACGCCTTGGAATTTCTCACGCAGATAGGGCATATCGCCAATGGCCAGGACCGTCTTGGGAGCAACCGAAAGGAGATTCCTCAATTGCGCGCCTCCGTCGATAATGCTTCTCTCTCTGAAGTCGATCAAGGCCGACGCAAGATAGATCAAGGTGACATATGTTGGTTGCATGAACTCAGGATCAATCTTACTCCAGAGTCGTCGCCCGGCTTTTCCGAGAGAATTGCGATATCTCCCACGCTTAGGGTTCTCAAGGTAGTCAATGGTAGCAGGAGCGCCCTCCGGCCTCACTGCAAAACCCCGGCGCAGTCTCCCCCACCCAGGAAAATTTGGCATGAATTTGTTTTCAAAGGTAACAAAGGCTTCAAGCTGATCAGAGGCTTTATTCGATTGCGCGAGCACCTGGACGTACGTCGACCAGTTCTGAGTGGTCAGTGAGAACCCCAGCTTCTGAAACTCTGACACAACTTCGGGGATTTTCCAATGCTGATTATAGTGTCCCAAGGCTTGCATGTACAAGGAGAGACATCGCGATAGGATGAAACGCTGCGAGCGTAGTATGGGCGTCGCCTTGTCCTTTGACTCAGCCTGCTGCTCCGCCACAACCAAAGGCTGGCTCTTTTGAACAGACTGAGGTAGAGAAGGTTGCGGTGGCCCGGAATCACTAGGCTGATCCTGGAACCGTAACTCCTCAAGATCCGGACAGCTGGCTAACTGGATTGCTCGAGGCAACGCCATTTTCCAGCATTCTTCAACCTTAGCGTATTGCCCGGCTCGCAGGTGGGCGTACATTAAGGCAGCTAGTAAACGTAGCGGAGGAGGTCCGCCCTTTTCACCCTGCGAAACAAGCCGTCCCTTCTGCATGTACTCGTCAAAGAGCTCCCCGACCTTCCCATAAGCGCCTATCGTTCCGTATGCCGTAATGAGGTATTCGTAATAGAGAGCGGGAAAGGCTTCATGAAGGGGCTGTTTGCCCATGCCCGGTCGCGGCTGTTTGGATGCAAACTGCCTGATGTCAAATTCGGCGATCGCCTTGATAAGAAACTCCTCCGACATGGCCAGATGCACGTCGCTGGGGTCTCGAGAGCCAGTTTCCAAAGAAAGTTGGGCGTCTCTGTCAAGGAAAGTCTTCAGCATCTGAAGTCGTGGGCTCAAGCTGGGATTCTGAAAGCGTTCCTCGATCTCTCGGTAAATGATATGGGCCATGTCGCGATTGCGAGCTTTGACGTAGGCGTAGAGAATGATGGTATAGTGAAACTCGGTGGCATGAACCCGGCGGCTACGGTGCAGAGTCCGGAGGATACGTCGAGCCGAATCAGGCTTCCCGATCAGGGCCAGAGACAACATCAACGCGGCATATGTCATGTCATCCGGCCGCACACCGACGGCCTCCATGCGAGAAAAGATTCTGGAGACAGCATCCAAGTCGGCTCGGAATGCGTACGACCAAAGCAGAATGTTCCACATCCTCGTGCGTGACCCCTCAAGATTCAAGGCGAGACTGGCCTCTGCTACCTCCTCAGCATCGTCGAGCCGGCTGTTATTGCAATAGACTTCCACGATAGTGTCCAGCATTGGTATGGTGATAGGTACCCTGTTTTCTCTTGCAAGCTGGAAAAGATGGCGGACGCCGTCAATATCACCCCTGTTTGCACAGAGACCCATTAAGGTTCCGAAGGTGTACGAGTCCGGCTTGTGACCAGCGTCTATCATTTGCTTCCAGACTTTAATCGCTCCATCGACATCTTGTGCATTTGTATATGCCGACAGAAGAATGTTCCAGCACACTCTATTTGGCTTCAAACCAAATTCGGAAACCCTGTTGAACTGCTTCAGAGTCTCTTCGACGTTTCCCACTCTAGCGTGAACATGGAGAAGTGGCGCGACCCATCTCAGAGTTCGGGGTTTTCGTTCAAGCTGTCCGCTCACCGGCTCGCCATATTCTGCGACGAGATCATTGAACGTTTTTTGGACATTGATGGCGTCACCCGCCCTGGAAAACGCCGTGAGAGCTAATTTATATGCCTCTACCGATGGTTTCCCGTAGAAGTTGGTGAACTCATCAAGGAGGTATTGGATACCATGAGTGACCTCCAAAGAAGTCAGAGTTCTCAACAGACTCTCCAGGAGCTTTCGTGGAGGGATCTCACTGCTAAGGTGCCATCGAAAGTTCCGATAAACGACGATCGATCGGATTACATTTGAGCGAACCTCGAATGATTGAAGGATGTCAAGAGCACTATAATAATGCCTTGCCGTGAGGAACCCCAACTCTTTGAATGCTTGAGTCAAATTCAAAATCATCTCCGTGGTGATGTCTCTCATCATATCAGAAGAAGTGAAAATCATCTTCAATAAAAAAGGGGCTAGCTCGGCAGCTCTTGAGTCCCTATCGGCTTCCTCCTGCCCCTTCAGATACTGCGCCAGAGAGAGAACTCGATCAGGTAGGTCAGAAAGAGACTTCATCTGCGACAAAGCTGGGTGAGAAAGATCCTTTTCCAAACCGGCAGGCCTGGAATCCCAAAGATCCAATGCATCGCTCCATTGCGTTGTTTCCACGAACGAGGCTAGGGCCAAGCTCCAGGCTGGTATTCCAAGGTCTTTGGCCATACCCTCTGCACATATCCGCTTGACATCGGAGTACTTCCCAGCTCGAAGAAGAGACATTGTCGCATGCAAATAGTCTTTTTCGGAGCGCGCTTCGGAAGGAATAGCATCAAAAAGCCTCCGTGCTCTATTCAAGTCGACCAGGCTCGTCGAGTTTGACAGATATTCAAGGACAGAGGACCTGAGTCCTGGCGGTTCCCCAATATCCATCCACAGATCCCAAACTTTGTCATAGTCCCGTCGGTCTGCCGCGTCAAGCAACACCTTCAGGGCGGCCTCTTTCTCATGTCTATCTTGATCCACATCGCCGCCAATGTTTTCTTCGTATCGACTCAGTTTCACGCCTTGGGAGACATTGGCGGGTTCCGAGGCAGAATTAGAAACGTCCGAAACGTATGACCTCGCGAGGTCAGGGGCTGACCGCTTTTTCTTCCGCAGCAGAAACCCATTTTTCGCGCGTGCAACCCATGAGAACGCAAAGGACTGGCTTTTCGGAGGGTATAAGAAGTCGAGAAAAGGTCTTGGGGTATCATCCGCGGCCAGGCCAGACTTTTCGACAGCTCGCAACGAGTGTGATCGGGACCGTCTTGAGGCATGCAACAGGATGTAATACCACAACCGAAAATCCAATCCACAGTCCCTATAGCGCCAGAAACCTGGACCCAGAGACTTCCGACTGCGGATCATGCCATTGGAGTTCCGAAGGAAGCTCTGTCCCGCGCTCTCGAGGCATCCTGCTGCCCGCTCGAGCATTACCCCCGAGGAATGAGGTGATAAACACAGAAACAGTAGAGTCTAAAGCGATATGACTGGCATATCGAGATCTTTGCACAAGACATGGGTACGGTAGTCAGTCGAATGAGCTCAAGGATGATCGAGTTTAAGGGTGCTAATAGGGTCAAACAAACCTGTACACGGGCCCTCTCCAGGTGGTCGAAATAATATTTCTGGGAATGCAAGCTCTGCACTGAGACCCGTGGGCTTCCCAGAAGACAGAAGGCCAATGCAATTGCTTTTTGCTGCGAGGAGTATGATGCAACGCGCAGAGCGACGAGTTACGTATTTTCTTTCTTGGGGAGTCCGAAGTTCTCTGCGGCGCCGGGCATTCGTTTGGCCGAGTGAAGCCCGAACCACACACCGCCGCCCGCCCGCCAAAGACCAAATAATAATCTCTCCACGTCTTCCCCGCCCTCCGACCGCCGTCATCGGGTTGCCTGAGGTGGGATTATCCCCCAATTCGATGGAGATCACGGATTTGTTCTTTTCCCGACGGGAGCAAGCCCTCCTGGTTGGGGATTACAACAGCTATCGTGCGCAGACCTCGCGGAGATTGCATACGGTCCGCAAGAAGCTCGGGCAGACCACCCCCAAAGGTCGCAAATACACAGCCAAACCTCCTGTGACGGCGGAAAATGTGGGATCAAATGTCGCGTATGTTTGTCCAGAAAGTTCGCATTGGATGCAATTTTTTTACTGACGTGTTGCGTCTGAAGCTACGCCCATCTCTTAATCCTCAGCTCCGAGCGAGCATGGGCCCAAGCGATGCAGATGAGAGCAGTTCATTCTGCGGACCCCTCAGCGAAAGGAATCGTTGGCGCTACTAAACGACATATCATTTCCCGACTAAATAAAGCGACCAGCTATGCGAAGCAACTTGTTTTGATCTTGCAGGACCAAACAGCTTCCCACGCAACTAACGTCGATCTTCTCGAGGCGCGCGCCTACCTTGCCTTGCTGTGTGGGGCATTGTACATGGAGAAGCAGAGATGGGAAGAGTGTCTCCAGAACTACAGCGTTGCGAGGATCATTTATACCGTTCTTGGCCGGAAGGAGAAGAAGGATGCCTTTCGAGATCTCATCTCGGGCACCATTGACCCCGGTCTTCGTTATGCTGCCTATCAGCTGAAGCTTCCACGCACCAAGCCCCTCCCATCTTTAGCCATCCAATTTTTCCCGTCCGATGCGAAGATCCGATCTGAGGTCGAGAGCGTTGATCCCACCTGTCTGACAGAAGATCTTGCGGGAACCACAAAGGCGGTCGATGGAGAAGTGCAACGACTACCCGACAGTATCACATGGCGGTCACGTTCGGTTCCCCTTGAGGATGCTTCGATAGCACAAGCGCTTGCTGCTGCCTCTGCGGCAGAGTCCCAGCTTTCGTCGTGGTTGGCAGACGATGCTGGGAAATCTGCGTCGCCGAAGGACAAGGCGGCTGCGTATGATAGTGTCATCCAGGCCAGTCAGGACGCTGTGGATGCTACTAAGACCGCCCTCGACGAGCTCGCTAGTGAAGGGGTTGATAGAGGGGATCGGAGAATGCAAGCGCTTCAGGTGACCCGGACGGCTGTTAATTACGCCCTCGTTGGGTGGAGAGTTGGCCGGAATAGGGTTCTGTGTGGGGAGCAGGACGGTCTTCTCTTTGAATCAGAGCAGACCAAGGCTCCTCGCGGCCGACGTCAAGCATCCCGGAAAGAAGGTACTGGGAAGAAGCTGGCAAGGCTCCGCGAAAGGGTAGCTCTATATGACTCGACGCTACAAAGCCTGGATTTTGTGCAAGAATTGCCTGGTGTAGCAGGTGATTCCGAATTCGTTCAGGAATTAGAAGCGAAACGCAACTACTTCCGGGCGCTGCGGTATGTTCTGTTCTCTCTCGTATTCGTACAGGTGACCCTTTGCTAAACGGCTGATGTGAACAGGTGTCTTTCCATCGGGCGCTCGCACTCTTTCCTCGGGAGGTCCAAAAATGCCCTTGCTCTGTTTGCCCGAGCGCTTGATCTAGCTTCAGCAGCACAGGCAGTCCTTCAGACCGCTTCCGGAGCCGATGGACCTCCAAGGTTGGATGTTTCGTCCCAGCAAGTCCAGGCCTTGGGTTCCACCTTGCGGGGGTTGGTGGCGCAGTACCGCGGACTGGTTACTCTCGAGAGGCTCTCTGAGACGGAGAAGGATTCAGAAACCTTCCAGCCGCCTCTGATCGAGCGCCTGGATGAGTACGTGGGCGACGGCTTGGATCTCAGCAATCTGGTTCCCTTCCCGCCCAAGATGCAGCCGATTCCAGTCAAGCCGCTCTTCTTGGATGTCGCATGGAACTACATTGATTACCCGCGCGAAGCAAAGCAGAAGACTGAGCCAGAGAGCAAGCCTGCTGAGGAGAAGAAGGAGGGGCGGCGTGGCTGGTTTGGATTTGGTCGCTGAGGCGGGAACGGCGTCCATATACGTTACTCAGCACGAGGTTCATTACATGATAAACCTGAATGACATATTCCTATCCCAGGGCTGGCTCCTGTCACTACAACACCAGTAAATCACATGCTGTATGTGCAGTACCGTAAGGGCTGATGCCATGCATACTCCGTACCCTCGGTAGGCTGCTTTGTCAGCAATGAATGGTAATCAGGGTTTGAGTAATCACGTGCCACGACCAGCCCTAGCTACGGAACTTCGTCAGCCGAATCATCCGACCGGCCGGGAAGGCCGGCTATGATGCCTCTCCATTGTTATTGTGTACGGAGTAGGGCATGCAGAATGTGCAACACATGCGTAACCCCCATAGTCCTCGATTGTAGCAACCTCTCTCCTACGTGTCTGTCACAAGTAAACGCACTGTCTGCCAGAAGGTGGAGAAATTCGAGACGCGTATACTGGCAGCACCTGTTGATACACTGGACAGGATAGTAGAACCGCACTCAGGAGGCGATTACTAATGTCCCTGTAATCCACGCTGCCGATCTTTGTGCAGACAGCCCTGGATTCCGCATTGTCTCTGCCATCGGCACGCAATAATTGGCGAAAAGAAGGCGACAGCTATCGATCTCGATATCGAACAGCCACGATAAACACAGGGCAGCACAAGGCGATAAACCAGCGCAAAGCAGAGTCCAGCCTGCTGTGCTGATGAACCGGTGGGTGCGCCGACATCCCGTGTCCGTGCCTGCGAGCCCTCGTCCACCAATAATGGCGCGGCGACAGGCACCGTCTGCTAAGTCTAAGTTGCTAATCGGGAATTCATAATTATTCCTCGATCCTTGGCGCATGCACCGACGCTCCTTTTTCCACTGCAATATCTTCCTCCACCTTCCGTGTCCTTCTCGGCCCTCCTGACGTCTGCTCTGTCTCTCGTTCAGTCGTGTCACTTGGCTGGGTTCTTCACGGCGTGTCTGCGTGGCCACCTCGGAATCTCTTCAGGCAGTTCCAAGAGACAAGCCAAGACAGTCCTGAACCCGCCATGGTCAACTTCAATGGGAGCTTTGTCTCCCCTCTCGCGGACGCGAGAGTGGTACCCCAACTGTCTGATCCCTCCAGTGTGCTGATGTCGCTCTACAACCGTCTCAATGGCATCTCGATCTGGTCTACTCTTCTGTACCTTTTTCTTGCGGCCGTCGCATATGATCAGTGTACGTTGCGTCTCTTCCTCGAATCTGTGCGCGAAGCATCGCGTGGGCGACACGTCTTCGCTGGACAAAGTTTTCGATGTTCTGCCCAGATCATTGCCATGTTTTGGCTGCCAGACAAGAACTGACGCGCTCTGTGATTTTTTCAGTGAAATACATCTATAACAAGGGATCGATTGCCGGCCCGGCTATGAAAATTCCGTTCATGGGACCTTTCCTCCAGTCGGTGAACCCCAAATTCCACGAGTACAAGGCCAAATGGAACAGCGGAGAGTTGAGCTGCGTGTCGGTTTTCCACAAGTAAGTGCCTTGGGAGGCATCAGGAGGAGGGGAAAGAATTGCATCTAAGCAGGATTTTGCCCAGGTTTGTCGTGATCGCGTCGAGCCGTGACCTGTCGCGGAAGATCTTCAACTCGCCCGCCTACGTCAAGCCCTGCGTCGTGGACGTGGCTCACAAGCTGCTCGGCAAGGACAACTGGGTCTTCTTGGACGGAAAGCCCCATGTCGAGTTCCGAAAGGGATTGAACGGCCTCTTTACCCGCCAGGCGCTGTCTCTCTACCTGCCACACCAGGAAGCTGTCTACGACAAGTACTTCAAGCACTTTCTGGAACTCTCCGCCAAGAATGACTACAAGCCCATCCCATGGATGCCGCATTTCCGCGAGTTGATGTGTGCCGTCTCCTGCCGTACCTTCGTGGGTGACTATATTTCGGACGAAGCGGTCAAGAAGATTGCGGACGACTATTATCTGATCACTGCGGCCCTCGAGTTGGTCAACTTCCCGATCATCATCCCTTACACCCGCACCTGGTACGGAAAGAAGGCTGCGGACATGGTGCTTGACGAGTTCGCCAAGTGTGCCGCGAAGAGCAAGGCCCGCATGGCTGCTGGTGGCGAGGTTACCTGCATCATGGATGGCTGGGTCAAGGCTCAGCTCGACTCGGCCAAGTACCGCGAGAAGATCGAAAAGGGCATTCCCGTGGATGAGTCGGAGAAACCGGCGAGCGTGCTGCGCGACTTCACCGACTACGAGATTGCTCAGACTATCTTCACGTTCTTGTTCGCTTCGCAGGATGCGACCAGCAGCGCTTGCACGTGGCTCTTCCAGCTCATGGCTGACCGCCCGGATGTCCTGGACAAGGTCCGTGAGGAGAACTTGCGGGTGCGCAACGGCGACCGGAACGCCCGGATCACGATGGAGCTGCTTGACCAGCTCACCTACACGCGCGCGGTGGTGAAGGAGACCCTGCGTTACCGCCCTCCGGTCATCATGGTTCCTTACATTGCCAAGAAGGACTTCCCCATCACCGACTCGTACACCGTGCCCAAGGGCTCCATGATCATCCCGTCCGTCTACCCGGCGGCCCACGACGCTGAGGCGTACGAGGACCCTGAGACGTTCAACCCGGACCGATGGATCACGGGCAATGCGGAGGAGCAACACAAGAACTGGCTGATCTTTGGCACGGGGCCGCACTACTGCCTGGGCCAGACGTATGCGCAGCTCAACCTGATGGCGCTGGTCGGCAAAGCCAGTATGCACCTGAACTGGGAGCACTTCCCGACGCCCAAGTCGGAGGAAATCAAAGTGTTTGCTACGATTTTCCCTCAGGTGAGTATACAGAAATTCGTGTGGTGTGGGTGTATTCTAACTGATGCAGGATGACTGCCCTCTTGTCTTCACTCCTCGTGCGTAAATACGTCCGATCCGGTCTAGCAACGACCGGTTGTCGACATAACGCTTTTATATTCATGGCTCATTCTGACGACCAAATTTAACTGTCAGCAAGCTGTCATCCAGCATGTTAGTCACAGCTGAATGCCTTTACTTTAGATTATAATTATTGCGGCTCGCGTGTTATTTTCGAGGTTTTGAATTGGAAATGGCGAACACCTTTGAATGACTGCTACGCTCGAGCCATTTAGGGCGGGGAGACAGGTTACCAGAGAATTCTTTGGGCAGCCTGCGTTGAGGATTTCCTCAGCCTTGTATTTGCAGGGCTTACGGCGCAGGCTGCTTTTGCATTGTACATAGCTTACATATAATAGTAATATTGTTCGAATTCAAACGAGTTTGCTTGGCTAGCGTTGTAAATAATCTGCAGCATGCAGCTTACACCCATGCGTATACGCATTGTTAACGGCTGGATACAGTAGGCGGTAAAGCGGAACTGACATCACGCTTCTTTCTCTCCGAGCGGAGAAGAGAAGCAAGCAGCCGTCTAAGACTCTAGATACTTTTGCATTACATCCCACTCAATCAATCTGCATCACAGTCGTGATACTTAATTCTCTCATCCAAATAAGAGAGAGAGAAACTTTTTATTTTTAAATCGCAATGCCCACACCATCGGGATCCTTTGCCTTTATTGCGCGCCGCGCCGCGACAGCACGACGTCCTTCATGCATCAACATCAACATCAATAATAGTATCAACTCGAAGAGCAGCCTCCTCGTACAGAGAGGGAGCAGAAGACTGCTGAGCACGCTTGAGTCTGGTTCAGCAGGTGCAGCTCGTGCAGCGCAATCGAGACGTTCTGTCGTCAGCAGCAGCAGCAGCAGCAGCAGTGGGGGATCATTGCTGTTCGTCATCCTCTGTATCTACAATCTCGATCTCGATCTCCTCAGTTCCAGCAAGTTCGATGGGAGAGCAGTGAGAAAAAGAGCGATGGCAGCAGCAGCAGCAGCGAGACCCCGCAATTGCGATCCGTTGGGTTTGAGGATGTACGTTAGACTATCTACCTGATCAACTAATTCATTCCTAAACTAACAAATAAAATAATTCATCAGGTCAACGCCTCCCTCCCCTCCCCAGAGCAGACTACTAACAAACCAACCACCATCCTAATCGACGTCCGCGAACCAGCCGAACTCTCCTCAACGGGAATCATCCCCGGCGCGGTATCCATCCCGCTCGCCTCGCAACCAGACGCATACTTCTTGTCGCCGGAGGAATTCGAGACGCGGTTTAGGTTTCCGAAGCCTGGCGTTGCAGAAGCCGAAGGGCAGGACGCGTCCAACAAGAGTGATCTGATCTTCTACTGCAAGGCCGGCGTGCGCGCCCGTGCCGCGGCACAGTTAGCTGTGCAGGCTGGCTATGATCCCAATCGGATTGGGGTCTATGATGGGAGTTGGTTGGATTGGGTGGATCGGGGAGGGAAGGTGGAGAAGTGGGAGGGTGGTGAGGAGTGAATGTAGTACTGTACATACTGTATGTACATAAAAAGGGAAAGATGAATGTGTTATTGAGTTGAATGAATGAATGGATGGATGGGATAGTTGTGGATAGCAAATACATGAATAAATAAATGGAAATGAAATTGTTTATACGGATGAGATGGATACAGTATCTCTCTCCCTCTATATACACATATCTCTCTCTCTCTCTCTGAGTAAGGAAGTGCCGGATGAAGCCAAGCCAAGCCAAATCAATCAATCATACTGATCGTACTGATCGTACTAACTGCATTGTATACTGTAGTGTATTGCTTTACTGTACTGTACTGCTTAAACATCATGAACGTTTAGTTTAATCAATCGACAGACCTCAATCAACCTAACCTAACTTAACATAAAGCATGAAAAACATAAAGTCTTCATCTTCAATCACTCATAGAGAAGACAGACAGATATAAACCAAGCTCGATCTAACATAACACTTATTTAACGACATGAAAAATAACTTTTTCCGTAAAAAGTCAAAACTTTTTTTTCCTTTCTTTTCTTTTCTTTACTTTTCTTTTGTTTGTTTGGTTGTTTATGGAATGTCAAATACCGGCTTCAACTTCTTGATCAGTGCCCATTCCTCCATCGACACTTCGGGCCGGTAGAACTCCTTCAGCGTGTCGATGCTCGCCCGCGAGATGGCCGAGTATAGCGTGTCCTTCTCCTCCAGCTGGCGCCCGTACATGGGCTGGTTGGGGCCTTCGATCTTGATCGCCACGGACGGCTGGCCCCGTTTGCACACCTGGACGGGCTTGTGGTCGCGTTCAATGGATACCCTAGATAATGTTAGTTAGTTGTCACTTTTTTCTTTTTTGTCTTAGATCAACTAGGTGGGTGCAACTTACACTCTCCCCAGCTGGATAATCTCCTTAGCCCCAGTGGTTGCGTTCTGCTTCACAGCCGCAATCGGCGTGTTCAGTTTCAGAACTCCCTCAATGACATCCACACCGATGACAATCGGGTCCTTCTTGTTGAACACTGCCACCGTCTTCAACACGCACGGGAACACCGCCAGCATCTTGGTCTCCTCCTTGCGCTGCTCTGTCAGCTGCGCCATGTGCCTGGTGAAGTCGTCGAACAGGTGGTAGATAATGTCCGCCGTGAAGATCTTGACGCCGACTTCGTCCGCATACGCTTGCGCCTCCTTGTCGACCTTCACGTCGAAGCAGAGCATGACGGCATATTCCTTGAATCCCTTCTCCAACATCGTTCCCGCAAGCATCACATCACGCTTGTACACAGGTCCAATCGAGATGTTGGAAACTGGGACCTTGGACACTTTGAGGAAATCCAACAGAGCCTCGAGGGATCCTAGGGTGGATGCCTGCACGCTGACTCCCCGCTGGTCCTTGGACACCTTGTTTAACAGGTTCTCCAGATCCGACATGACTTCTTCCATCAGGTCTTCCTCGTCATCATCGGGTCCGACGACCAGCAGACGCGAACCGGCGATCGCGTGCTCCAAGTCATTAGCCGCGATCTTGACACCCAGAGCCGCCTTCACCTCTTTGTTGTGCACGTATTGCGACTTCAGACGCAACTCCTTCATCGGCGCCGGCGTCAATAGTGCTCGTATGTTCGTCGCTATAGGACCGTTCAAACCACACAGCACTATTCGGTCACCTTCCCGGAGGATACCGTTGGACAGAACAACGTCGATCGTAGTACCAAGACCCTCGACAACCTTAACCTCCAGAACGGTACACTCAACCTCGGACAGATACATCAGAGAGTTGGTCATACGCTCCTGGGTCAGCATCGTCAGAAGCTTCAGCATGTCAGGAATACCTTCGCCGGTATGGGCGGAGGTCGGCACGAGCGAGACGTTGCGCGCCATCGACTTGTTCTCCCAGTACAGCTCCGAGTTGAACCCTTGCTCGGCAAAAGCGAGCTTGATCTGATCCACACGCGTCCGGAACTCGTTCAGAACACCCTTGCTCTGCATGGCCAAGCTCTCCTGGAAGCCATTGTTGTCGATCTTCTTCCATCCGTAAAGACGGTCGATCTTGTTCAACGCGACGATGAACGGCGTGCGGCGCTCTCGGAGGAGTCGCAACGATTCCAAGGTCTGCGGCTCCAGCCCGTGCATGATATCGACCACCAGAATAGCAATATTACACAGAGAGGAACCTCTCGAACGCAGGTTGGAGAAGGACTCGTGTCCGGGTGTATCGATGATCAGCAAACCGGGGATCTTGAACTCGAATTTGCCATCTTTGTTGACCACCGCAGTCTTCTGCTTCAAAGCGTCGACAGGGAAGTAAGTGGCACCGATCTGCTGCGTAATACCACCGGCTTCGCCCTCCTGCACGTTGGTCTGCCGGATCTTGTCCAGAAGCTTGGTCTTTCCGGTATCGACGTGACCCAGAATACAGCAAATGGGCGAGCGCAAGTTGTCCTTTGACCGAGCTGCCAGGGCTTCCTCGTGCTGTTTCCGTCGTCGCTCTGCTGCCTCGGCCTTCCTCTGAGCAGCAGCTTTCTGAGCGGCTGTGGCTGCCTCTTCAGATTCTGATTCCGACTCGTCTTCGGACGACTCTTCTTTCTTGGCCGGCGCTTTAGCCGGAGCCTTAGCCGGAGCTGTAGGTGCCTTTTCAGGTGCCTTCGCTGGTGCTGCAGGCGCCTTTGGCGCTCCATTGGTCGTTCCATTGGGCTCTTTGGCCGTGGCTGCTGCCTTCTTTTCTTCTTTCTCAACTTCCTTATCATCTTCTTCTTCCTCTTCTGAAGGAGCATCCCAGCTGTCCTTGACGTCTTCAGCGGCGTCCGCGGCCTTCTCCCAGTCGTCTTCAATGTCGTCACTCTCTTCTGCCGCGGCCTCCGCCTCCTTCTTGGCCTTCTCTTCCTCCTCCTTTCTTCGCCTCTCTTCTTCCTCCTTTCTTCGCCTCTCTTCTTCCTCTCGCCTTGCCTGCGCCCGGGCGGCTGCTTCCTCGAGGTCCACTTCGTCCTGCTTCTTAGGGCCCTTCTTCTTGCGATTATCGTAGACCGGCTTCTTCTTCTCCTCCGGTGCCTGCTGTTGCTCCAAGCCGGCCACTCTACCCACACCAGCAGCCAGCATCTGCTTCATGCGCAGCTCATTGCGCTCTTTGGCTTCCTTCTGAGCCTTCGTGAGCAGTTTACCTTCTCTCCGCAGCTGCTCCTTCTTCTCCCTCTCCTTCTCTTTCCTACGCTGACGAGCTTCCTCTTTGCGCCTCTCCTCTTCCTCAATCTTGCGCAATCTCTCTTCCTCTCTCGCCCGCTCTTCGGCCAAGAGCCGCTCTTGTTCCTCCTGCTGTTTCCTCAGCAGTTCCTGTTGCCTCTGGATCGCGGCCAGGTGCGCAGGGATCTTCTTCTTTTTGCCAGGCTGTTCTGGTGCCGGAGCAGGAGCGGGAGCAGGAGCGGCAGCAGGTTCAGGTTTGGTTTCGGGTGCGGGCTTGGATGGCTCAGGTTTAGGTTGTGCAGCTGGACCAGCAGCCTTCTTCTTAGCGGCCTAGATAGATGATTGAGTCAGTAAACCAAATTCTTTCTCCCAGCGATCACATGTGGAAATAATAGTCTACCAACCTGTTCCTTCTTCCGCTGCTTTTCTCGTTCCTTCTTCTCTTTCTCCTTCTCTTTCTTGGATTTCACTCTGATCTCTTCGCCCGCACCCGCATCTTCCTTCGGTTCTTCCTTTGGAGCGGGCTTGTCGGCAGCCTTGCCCTTCTTTGGCTTTCCGGCGAAGACATCCTCGTCGTCGAACGTGGCCTCCTGTGGCTGCTTGCTGTCCAGATCCACGGCGCTGCCATTTGCGTCCTGCTGGGTGGGATCCTCGCCTTCGACGAAATCCTCGACCAGTTTCCCTTTCTTGGCCTTCTTGCTCCTGTTCTTCCTCAGCGCGGCCAGAAGACCGCCGCCCATCTCTCCGTCGTCATCGTTGTTGTCGGCTGGTTTCTGCTCCGCGGGCTCGCCATTTGCGCCGGGGATGGTCTCGCCCAGCTCGGCTTCCCAGTCGTCGTCCTGTCTCCTGCCTCCCTTCTTCTTGGGCCCCATTTTGATCGGTCGGCGACAGAAAGGTAGATAAGACTTTAATTAAACTAGACAATAAAAAACGGCAGGTACAAAATTAATATCCTGCCCGTGGACAGCACGACGAAGGCAGATTTTTCCCTCCAAGTGCTCCTATGCAACGAGGTAGATGTACCCTGCACTGGAGCGGTGGTGGCAACATCCGCAGCGAAGCGGATAACAGATATCAATTTCCTTCCCGCACGATAACACACGCGTGCGGTTTCTCGCAGGAAAACGGATATGTGGGGGTTGCCGAGGAAAACCCGTAGTCGATATTAGGCGCACAGGAAGAAAATAAAAGAAGGGCACGAGAGGCAAGGCGCCCAGTGTCACTCTCTGCCTCTCAGAATCGACTGTGCGTGCGTGACGAGCGGAGTTGACTGGATTATTGTTGCCGGAGGGGTGAGAATTTGTGAGGTTGGTTCGGGCGGTGGGGACAGCCTGCCCTGGCTGACCGAGATTCCGGCTGCACTCAGCAGCTCTCTTAACAAATCGCAAATATTAATATGCTGGACATACACTGGAGAAAGAAATCCACTCTCTGCTCCAGCTGATGATTGTGTGTTTTGAGAGCAGGCTCCCACTGCTTCATACATTGGAGTGGCTGTATGGACTAGCAAAGCATGTATGCCTGGCTCAACAGATAGGTGCCTGCACAGAACCTGAAAAATAAATTCCAACACTTCTATCAGGACTGCCTGGTCATACTCAATATTCCTTGCATTTAATAACTAGCTCTGTGACAGTGATTGGAGGCAACCAGGTAGACCATCACGCCTATTTACGTGAATGCAGAGTATATATATATATATATTCACGCTAGTAGGAGAGAGGACGCAAAATGCACTTCACTACGTCATCAGACCTGGCGCCTGGAATGTCTGAAATTCAAGTGAAGACTTCTTGGTATCCGAACCAGCTTTTTCTTTTCTACTTTCTCTTTGGACTATATATAGTTTATGCAATCCAGCTGTAAAGCAGTACCAGAATCTTGGCATACCAATCATCCAGGTCGTACTGATGATATCTTTTAGACCCCATTTAGGTAGATGAGCATCGCATACTCAACTGGTGTTTGGCTCTGCATACATATATGACAACAACAGAGTAGAACCAGCGGAACTCCATTTCTACACAGTATCCCCATCAAAATCCAAACTGCAGCAATTTCCCCAGCCAATCCATGACCTGGGACACGGGATCTGACGTCTCGCCCAGTAAATCCCCCGCAAGTTCCAAAAACAGCTCCATATACGATTTCGGGGGCAACGTTGCGGCATCCGAAGAAGGCGAACGGGTGTCGCTGGTCAACATGTGTCGCAGATGGTCAGAACCATATTGGAGTAGCCGGGCAAGTATGTCACCGTTGACATGCATGTGAGACGGCTTGTTTGAAGAAGTCGGCTCAATATCGGCCCATATCCATCGTTTCTTTCTGGCTGCCAGGAACGGAGATAGGGTGGCATCCTTGCTGCACAAGTTCTGAATGAATCGGAGAAGACGCCATTCTCTTTCTTCAAGTGTCATTATTCGATAGACCGTCCCATCCATCGTCGTGCCGTATACAGCGGTAGACGATGGCAAAGGCGAAGGCGCTGAACATGGTCCCAGCCGAATAACCGATAGAGGCAAATGGGCCTCAGCAACTGCGGGCGACATCATTTTATCATTCTCGGTGACACCAATCTCCGAGAGAGCACTAACCGTGCCTCCTCTGCTGGTGGCGAGCGTCAACTTCGCATCCCCTCCAATGTAGTAATGCGACAGCCCTTCGCGTTTCACCCCATCGTGGGCATACAGTTCTAGTTTATCGTTGACCACTTGGAGCACCACCAACGACTCTCTTGCCGTGGAAACGTAAATGTATGGCTGGCGAACGGTGATGGAGACCGCTGGAGACGTCAGTCTGAACCGTGCTGCGCGGGCCCATCGCCTTTCTGAAAATTTCGGCTCCAGCGGAACGACATCGTAACCGGTGCCGACCATTAAAGTCGAGTTGCCATATGCAGCCAGGGAGCGAACCGGCCCCTCGAACCTGTGAATATGTTTCACAGAGCACTCAATCTGTTCGGGATTGGCCGCACTCCGCTGTGCTTGCAAGAAGATGACACGACCATTGTCCTCTTGATTCTTCCGTGCGGTTCCAATAACGATGAAGTGATATTCCACTCCATCACGCTTGGGAGTCCAGTCCAGGATGCAGGTGATCCGTTCTCCAGCAGCTCCACATGGTCTCCAGGGCTTAGAGATGTGTTTACTACCGGCTGCAGTTTGCGATGATCCCACTCCCGAATGAGAGTCATCCAGGTTGATGAACTCAATATGAGGGCGCAGATAGCGTTTGATGGGTTCCGCGTCCGCGCGATTGTCTAATTCTACCGTGGTGTATGCCACCACCAGGCTTCTGAGGTGTCGTGAGTATGTTACTCTGTTAGCACTGCCTGGTAGCTCGATTCTTCGAGGAACAGTTCTGGGAAGTCGGTCCAGAGTGCTGATCAAAAGCTGTCCTTCACTGATACAGACGAGTGACCCAGCTAGACCGTCAGGACTCGGGTTCGGTTGCGCATCGATCAGAGTGAAAACATCCACGCTTTTTGAACGTAGGATGGCTAGAGGTAGGTTGTAAGTAAATGACCTTGCTCAAGGGGAGAGATACCTACATTGTTTTGGTCCGTAATCCATATCTGTTGGAGAGCATAATCCAGCGAATCACGACTGTTAATGTGTGATAGATGCCAAAAGCCATTTCCACATGTGACCAACGCAAAATCTTGCCTTGTCGTGTTGGTGCCGAGTCTGACAGTAGTTTGACCAAGTCTTCGCGGCATCCCTTGCCTGAGCTCTGTGAATGTTTGAGAGACGTCAGCATAGACAACATAGATTTTCTATATGAAATTTCTGTCATACCTATCGGAGCCTCATTCTCCGCTTCTCCAGTTTTTATGCTAAAGGGAACCAGAACGCCGCTTCGAAGGCCGCAGAACAATGTTGAACTTTTCTGACCGCTGTCTCCGGCTGCAATGACTCTAGCAATACTTTCAATTGCTCTGGAAACGTCATCTCCACTCAGATTGATGGCATAGTCGCCCAATTGTGAAAGATCTTCCTGTTCTACACGGTAGGAGAGGAGGTGACCGTCACTGGTACCAATGAAAACGTAGACGTCGGATTCGATATCTTCGATCAACACAGATACCGGCTCATGGCTGGTATCGACTGGCTGTCCTACAGGCTCTATCTGGAGGGTGTTATTGGTTGATAATATTCTGCCGACGTGTACTTGCATTGCCTGGGGAGACCTGGTCGCTGTCACAACAAGTGCGTGCTTGTGGTGAATGGCGGAAGCGACAACAGTCTGATCGGTCTCATAATTAAAAATGAAATTCAGGTTCGGCTCGCGAGGAGCTGAGAGATGGATGGAGCTGTTCGTGACTTGAATAACAATACCTGTTGTGGTATATCCCGCGGCCAAAGTTTGAGAAGAGAAATCCAAGGCCGAGTCCGAGTCATCCATGGCGTAAATCTCCTCTCCTGTATCCCTGGGAAGATACAGAAGAGTTGAGGAGACTGGATCCGACGTGAGAAGGTAGGTGCCGCCATCGACGTAATCCGGCATGGTCCAGATATAGCGGGTGCTCGACAGATCCTCTAGAGGAATAATCAAGCCTATTCGAGCTTCGACGCCGTATCGAAGCTCGACGAGAGCCCCACGGCCGGTTGTTGATGCAGAGCATACATAAAGCCGGTCACTGGAGGATGTGTCGTTCCGTGTTACCTCACCTGTTTGGCTGCCACTCTGGGAAGGAGGGGGAACAACCACAGCATCCAAGACAGGCGACCAATTCAAAAACTTCTGGACACATTTCGGATGTTCTCTTGCCCGTTGGATGAACAGTCCTCCGTCACCCATGTTTCCTGCAGCCAGGAGAAGATCACCACCCTCGAAATCGAAGTCAATAATATCGAAAGCAGCATCAACATCGCAACCAAGTTGACCAAGATGTGACTGATGCTCGATCTCACCTTTATTACCAATTTCGAGATAGAAAAGCCAACCATCTTCCCGGCAAAGGTAGATGTCGTCATGCTGCTGGTTGTAGACCCAGTTACGATATGGTCTAGCCCACCGTGTCCATAACGGAGACAGACGGGAATCTCGCTCCGGCGATTGAATCGGATACCGACTCGACGGCCCTTTCATTCTCGCATCCAGCGCATTCCTATACACCACCATCGATGTGCTCGTGATCAACATAAAGGACGTTGCTTTGGTCAAAGGAACCAGAATGTTTGGCAACCTGCATTCTGCAGGCAGCTTCCTTGTGGTAACTCTGGGGCGAGCTTGTCGTAGTGTTTCAGACGAGTCCCAGTCATAACACACAGCGAACGTGTGCTGATCTTTTGCCACCAACAAAAGGAGAATAATTCTGTCCCCATCGTCCGCTTCAGGGAAGAGGAAGTCCATAAACAAAATGTCCCCGTCGACACGAAAGAAACGTTCCTACCGACACACAACAAAAGATCAATAATCATCCAGTTTGGGAATTGACAAGCTAGTGAACAGAAACTCTGAAAAATGGCAAATACCTCTGCGATTGGATTTAATTTTCCTTCTGCCATCTGCGACTGAAGCTCTTGGGGTGATTTCATGGTGAAAATCCCAAAGAAGTCGGCGGGAGCAGCGACAGCGATTGCCCGAGACCTGGAAGATGTGAGGAGTCAGACTTTGGTAAATATTGGTCGAGATTGGGTGTCCTACCTCGGATCGACAGCGAGATGTCGACCAAATCGCTCGAGAATGCTGACATCTGAGGGCAAAGGCCGACGAAAATGTACAAAGTGGCCATCCTTGGGCGAAGGCTCGTTGCGGTAGTAAAGGAAAACCAGTTCCTTAGAGTCTAAAGTGAGCACCAAGAGCTGGGAGGGTAATGAATCTTCCGCTTCTGAGGAATGATCGGGTGAACGACTGTGCGCCCCTAATTTCATCTGAACATCCCATGGTAGTTCTGGACAGGCTCGAATGGCCTTGGCCGCAACAATGTTCGCGTCAAAATCCGATTTTATGGTAACATCCTCGAGGTAAGTGCCCATAACAATCTCACGAAGCTGGATCGATCTTTCGCCGATAAACACCACGTCATTCTGGCGTTTGCTTCGCAAGCGGGCCGGCAGAATCAGCTGGATGGCCGGGCTTGGTATGATTGTCTGGGAGAGAAGGCCAACTTTGGGCTTGGAGGGATCAGCTTTTGACGGCAGATCATTGCACCTCTCCCGATTGCGTTCCAGTAATCCGCTGATCCCCACGTGTCGAGCGGTCCAGACCTCATTCTCTAATTGGGCCGCTTGCAGAGCCATGATGCAGAGAATGGTGCTTCAGCGACGTCGGAGAATCGAAACAATTCTAATTGACAGATGCAGTGGGCATCTGTCCAGAAGAATATTCAAAGAGCCTGTGGACAGCTGTGTGAGGTTTTAGTGCGCGAAGAGTAGGAGCAGGTATAAAACAAAAAAGACATTCAATTCTCCAGAGAGTCAATGAATAGTGATAGCCCTCTTTATGGACCATGTAACGAGTAATCAGGAGCGCAGGCCTCCTCTGCAGACAAACAAGCCAGATCGAAATGTAATATCATGATGTGTTTCATGCAGTCTGTCTCCATGAAACATGCAGGAATCTCGCAGTCGTCCAATTATGACGCGCAGGCGCACACATCAAACCGAATATTCTCTGTAGAGTGAAGAGCAGGACTCTGCCGTGTCACGTGTGATTGTGTAGCAGAGCCAACCCCCTAGAATACAGATGCACGTAAGTTGAAGGCAACCAACACTAAAGCCGTCATCCATACATACATTAGAAAGAGCAAGAGTGGAGGGACGGGCAATTAGGTAATGTTCGGCACATGCCAATGCCGCTTAGAGGCTTGTGCACGTCCAACGGTCGTGAGACTGCGGGGTTGTGAAGAAGCAGCTGAACCACACCAAGCTGAGCGGAGTGTGGCTGGAAAAGACGGCGCATTGCCGCCGAGTTAGGAAATTGTGATCAAGACGAGAACACAATATGGCTGCCCGGGGGAAGGGGATAATTTCGTCGTCGACGACGATGATGCCGCCTCTCGAGGCGTTCGGCGTTAGTTTAGGACAACGGGCGTGCAGCACCTGAGTAAATGCTTCTTTAAGCAGACTAGTGAGCTCATTGCGGGACTCGGCTGGATGAGTTCCGCTGTCTCAAAATACGATAGCTGTATCGTGTATTCTATTAGCCAATCAGGTCCTGCTAATGGACGTTTCCGCTGGTCACGGTCTGTTACGTTTCAAGGTGACAGACATGTGCCCGTCACGGGACTCGACCAAAGCCTCCGCTAATCAGCCGCTCCACGTAGCGAGGCGGTGGACAGATCATCCAACTCTTGCAGATCTTGAAACATGCCTCTATCATTCGACTACTATTGTTATTAACATCATATCTGGCTGCTTGCTCTGCGGCTGCAGCCAAGCATTTTTGCTTGAAATTTCTTTCAAATGGTTCCCGAGGTACATGGATGAAACAGCACATTGGGCAGCATGGCCTGTGACAGCTGAGGTAGCTCATGCCTGCTGCATCTGACTGGTAGCGAGAGAAATCAGATTGAATCGCTGGATTTCGAGGTTTCTTCGACTTTTGAGAACCTGCAGGCCCGGCGGATTTTTCGAGCGTTTCCCCGATCATCAATGTGAACAGCATTGCCAGCTTTGTTGGCAAAGCAGCATCCCAATCTCCACCAAGGTGATCCAATCGAATCTACAGTCTTTGTTACCGCAATCCGGATTTATCTGTATTGTATCTTCGTGATCTTGTGGTACTATGGACGGGAATTTCCAAGACTCATCTGGGGATGAGGCTATGGAGAAATCGGTCGACGTAGAGACTCCGGCAGACCCAGATCCTAAGGATTTGAAACGAGAAGATATTCAACGAGCATGCAAAGAACGTGACGTCGAAGCGCTGGTGGAGCATGCGACTTCGAAAGATGGCTTGCTGGATGATGAGCTTCGTCAATCAGCATGTATGTTACGGCTCTGAACCTTGTCATCGTTAGTGTTGTAATTGGTATTTATTCATTTCTCAAATAGGGCCCATCCTCTTAGGATGCGATCAGACTGCAGAGACAGCAGATGCTCCAGCATGGAATGATCTACCGCGGCATCGGGACGAGGACCAAGTCAAGCTGGATGTGGACCGGTCCTTTGTATACTATCCGAACTGTTAGTACTTTCTCGTGACCTCAGCGTTGAAACTCACTGTGGCTGAACCGGGCGTCATCTCTTGTTTTAGGTCCACAGAAGGAGCTCTGTGACAGGAAGCAGGAGCTCTCAGATTTGATCACAGAGACTCTCCGAAGATATCCCATGCTTTGTTACTTTCAGGGGTATCACGACATCGCGCAGGTGCTGCTCCTAGTCTTGGGTACGCAACTAGCTCGTCAGGCATTTGTGCGAGTGTCCCTTTTCCGAATCCGAGACTACATGCTTCCCTCGCTCTCTCCTGCCGTGAAGCACCTTCAGCTGATCCCTGCTATACTGGAGAGCACGGACCCTAAGTTGCGCCGACATCTGGCGGGGACGCAACCGTTCTTCGCACTGGCAGCCACCCTGACCTGGTATGCTCACGACATCCAGGAGTATGGAGACATTGCGCGGCTCTATGACTTCTTACTCGCACACGAGCCGGTGGTGGCCATCTATCTCTTTGCGGCCATCATACTGTCCCGCAGGAAAGAGCTCTTGACCATCCCGGTGCGCGAACCAGAGATACTTCACTTCACGCTTTCCAAGCTTCCTCAGCCTCTCGATCTCGAAGGACTGATTATCAGCTCTCTGGAATTGTATCGCGCCCACCCTCCTGAATCCCTGCCATTTCGAGCTTGGCAGCGGATATCGCGGCATAGCGCCCTCAAGACATCGCGGAAACTCGCGCTCGACAGCCCGACAGAGGAGGCCGAAAAGCTGTTCGATCTGCAAACACGGGAGCTGCGGCGCGAAGAGTTCCGAAAGAGGACGTATGCCGTGATGTGGAGGTACCGAAAACCGGCCGGTTCTGTCGCGTTAGCAATACTGATCGGACTGGTCTCCTTTTACATCCGGCGGAATGGCCTCGACACATCGATTTGGAACTACGTCGGCAAGTTCAAGGAAGCATTTCACTATGCGAGGTGGTAGACGGGATCTGCCATTACCCTCAGAATCTACTTGCGTTGCTTAATGGTAGAGGAGGAGTCCTATTATTTGGCGTTGGGAAATGCTGTGTAGAATAAAGATTTACGCACTTTATGTTTGTGGGAATTTACATTCCCTGCAGTAATAGTCTGGTCTAGGATCCTGTGTGACTTTACCTTATCTACTGGCAGCTAATCCATTCAGTCTCAATATGTGTCTTTGTCCTTGTGCAACTTAGTGTAAATTCACATGACTCTGGGGTACCCCAGGTTTGACCTCTCATAGACTCATCCGGACTCAGGGGCCTAGGCCTTCTAGCCTGACCTGACCTCATATAGACTCACCCGGACTTTTTCTGCCGAATTTCAATACGGGGCTCTTTTATCTTTCGTGCAATGAGAATCATCTTTGTGCAACTAGTAGCTTAGTGGGGATTCACATGACTCTGGAGTACCCCAGGCTTGGTCTTACATAGGCTCATCCGGACCAGACTCAGTGAGCTTGACAGGACCTGGCCTGAGGCAGCCTTCCAGCTTATGAGGCGCTGTCTACTAAGCTTCAGTGAGTCAGTTACTACCAAAAACAGGTGGGGGCATATATTGCGAGTGTTCTACTGTCATGTCAGGTTGTACAAAGAGGAGGCCACAGTTGCGGACAAAGTGAGTTATTATTACTAGCATTCCAGAGCATAGATGATGGATCACATAAAGAAGAGCTGGGTAAAGTGAGTGTTTCACAGACATTAGTTCAACTCACATGTAAAGGTATGAGGAGGAGATGTCACGGCCTCTGCCTAGTGGCCATGTACTACACAGTACTAACTACTGTACATTCTCGCCGAAATCAACTTTTCCAAAGCTAAAGAGCGGAAAGGTCATGGTTGGAAAATCTGAAGTGAAGCTTCTCAGTCATGTGAACAAAATGGTACATCTATATGTACTGTATGTTCTTGCCAAAACCAACCTTTCCGAAGCTAAGGAGCGGAAAGGTCAGGGTTGGAAAACATGCACTCAACATTTTGTCCGAAAATCACAGTGCTGAACCGCAAGTCGGCGAGATCCCAAAATCTGTGATTTTCGATGCGAGGTTTCCAGGTCATGTGACCCTCCTATTTAGGTTAGTTTATTTATATACCGCCTTCTACATTAGGTAATAGAGACACACCGCCATTGAGCGTTCTGCCGGCAGCTTTCAAGTGCTATCTACGGATTATATAAGCCCGAAGCGCGGGATGACGACGACGGACCAGACCACCTGTACACTTCGCCCAGCGCGCCGTCGGCAGCAGCTCGACATGACTTGAGGGAAGGTTACCTTGTCCCTCTTTACTTATTTCCACCAGAAGTCTTTGTGAAGTCGTATTTTTTGTCGTCACTTATTTTCTTGACATTTTCTTCTCCCCCTCTCCTACCTTTTCAGGTTGCCAATCATGGCGAACCAAGGCTACGATGTTGTCGTAGACGTTGATGCAGAGGTAAGCAGAACACGACTCACAATTGATCGCTGTTCTCGCTTCTACTGCGTTATACTGTCGAGCTTATATGATGATTGTGGGAATTCTATACTAATTGATTGTTTTGTTATCTAGGGCGACCTCGGCCACACCGATCTTCAGGAAGACCTCGAATTCCATCCTTCCAGTACGTGCAGCTAGCTAGCTATCCCAGCTAGGGAACTTCCCCTTTGAGCGAACCCTTTCTTGTCGCCGTCATTGGGAAAAATAGAAGAAAATTAGAGAACGATCTATTTTTGACCATGGTTGTGTTTGGTAACATGCAGACTTCGAAAATGATCCCCGAAGCGCCAAAATCCAATCCGACTCGGCACCTTTCCTAGGCGGTAGCGGCGATCGTGGCGGCGGCGGAGGTTCTTCTCGCGGCGGCGGAAGAGGAGAGCACGGAGGGTTCACCAAGCACCGATGGTGGTCGATCCACTACTACTCGCAGTACTTTGACGTCGACACGAACGAGGTGCTGCGCCGGTGCACGGCGGCGCTGTACCCGCGGTCCAACTTCCTCGACGTGCTGGATGGCAACCCGGACCTGTACGGACCGTTCTGGATCGCGACGACGGTCGTCGTCATCCTCTTCCTGACGGGCACCGTGTCGCAGTACCTGGCGCGCGAGCACGACAAGCACTTCGAGTATGACTTCCGCCTGCTGTCGGGCGCCGCGGGTCTCATCTACGGATATACGGGGGTGCTGCCCATTGCGCTGTGGGGGGCACTGCGCTGGTTCGGCAGTTCGAGCGCCGACCTCATCGAGTGCTGGGCGCTGTACGGCTACGCGAACCTGGTCTGGATCGCCGTCGCGCTCGTCAGCTGGAGTCCGCTGACGGCGCTGAACTGGGCGCTTGTCGGAGTCGGCTTTGGCTGGACCGTCTTCTTCCTCCTGCGCAACCTGTACCCGGTGCTTAGCGCGACAGACGCGCGGACGAGCAAGATCCTGCTCATCCTGGTGGTGGTTTTGCACGCGGGGTTGGCGATTGCCATCAAGATCCTCTTCTTTGCGTGAGTCTATATCTAACCGTTCTGCTGCCCGTTCTGCTGCTCCTCAGGACCACCAGACACTCGAAGATTCGCAGGGGCTAATCTTTGCAAAACAGTCACGGCAGTCCCGTCTCAAAAAAGAACAAGCACCACGACGACGATGACGACGATGACCATGACGAGCATGACGATAGAAGACGGATGCTCTTTTGAATAGGAGAGGTGGAAGTAAATTAAGTGAATTGAATTGAACAACAAGGAAGGAAGCCAAACCCATCAACGTCAGCCCATCGATGGTCCTTGCATCCATGCCATGTCATGTCATGCTTTTTTTTTATAATTACAACACGAATACCAGTGCGCTTTTTCAAGGAACGTTAATCGACGGTATTTTTTTTTAAATTTTTGTACTGTATAGTACGTAAGGTACATACATGTGGTCTTTTAGCGAAAATAGGAACGAACGACTGACAATGAAATTGGAATTGGAATTGGAATTGGTTTATGTTAAATAAAGACTGCCTCGAAAGAGGGAGATCTAGTCTTTAATTCACTAGAATAGACGTTGGCCTTTTTCTTGTGTTCAGCCACGCCCATATTCTAGTTCAATGTTTTTGGGACGGGGATTGTTTTTCATTTCAACGCCTCTTTCAAGGCAGTACGTTTCGTTTCATTGGAACGTATGTAGTTATTGATCATACATGATGAATTGAATTGTTTTTTGCTACACCACAACAACCCCCGAAAAAGACAGCAAACCGACAAACCAAACCAACCAAACCGCAACAGCAGAAGGTGACGAGTCGTTTACTTGAGCTTCTTCTTCGGGCGCAGCTGGTTGCTGTGGCCGCACTTGCGCTTGCGGCAGTTGGTGGCACGCGGGGGGAGACGGGCCTGCGGTCATCTTTGTGTTAATAAAAGGTCTTCCTCAGGCGAGCCACGAGGGGTCGATTGGACTGGACGACGTACGTAGCACTTGCGGCAGATGGACTTCTCGCAGTTGTACTTGGAGGCGAGAGCCTTCAGGGAGGGCTCAATGATACCACCACGGAGACGCAGGACGAGGTGGAGGGTGGACTCCTATAGATTTGAATCCAGTCAGCCGGCCGGTCCATCCCATCATGAACGGATATGTTCGTATGACGTCGAGAACGCTTTTTGAGCTCCAGCATCCCATCCTCTTTCTTCATTCTTCATCCTCTCTTTCCATCACATCCACACTGATTCAACGTTGACGCTCGGGTATAAAAGTGTAAATGTACCTTCTGAATGTTGTAGTCAGACAGAGTGCGGCCATCCTCGAGCTGCTTGCCAGCGAAGATCAGACGCTGCTGGTCCGGGGGAATGCCCTCCTTGTCCTGGATCTTGGCCTTGACGTTGTCGATGGTGTCGCTCGACTCGACGTCGAGGGTAATGGTCTTACCCGTGAGGGTCTTGACGAAGCTGTGAACAGAACCCGTCAGTTTTTCGTCCTTCCATCATCAACGGCAGCCAACAAGTATCGAGTCGTCGTCATATTTCTGCATTTTGCCGTGGCTCGATCGGGTGGCGACTAAGGGAAGGCAAAGGGAATGAAGAGGGAACCTACATCTGCACTGTAAACGCGCAAAAAATGCAAATGTTAGCAATCATCCAAATCAAACAGCGCCGGGCGTGATGCCCGGCAAAACAAAGGACACGGGGGAACGTACTGGTTGCGAGATTCGTCGATGGCTTCTTTACTTCTCGTCGGTCGCGGTCTCGCGGATTATACGGGCGTCGTCGGGACGGATGACAGACAATTTGAAGGACACTCTCGCTTAGCGAGGGTGGGGACCGACAACGGACCGGGTGATCAACCCTAAGCCCTAGGTGTCTTCCGCTTCTGGATTAGACCAGATGCCTTAGGCACCTAATTTTCCATGTACATCATCCCTCAATGCCACCTGGATTTGAATCAATTTCAAATTCGAGATGCGTATCCAGAGTGTAGTAATAGTGTTGGCGATGGTATATGTCGCAACCATCAGCATGGTGTTCTGGTCCTCTTTTGTCTCCCTTTTGACACTTTGAGATAACGAACTACTTAATCGACTCGTAAGTTGGATGTACCACTCCCATAAATCGTTACTATAATGCGATTTCGCTACACTAGGTAGCCACTAAATGTGACGGTTCTACGCATCAATATATTCCATATCTGACGCCTGCTCTGCCTCCATGTCATCTGCACTGGCCTCAGTACCTCGCGTGGCATCTCGCATCACATGCTCTCCATGATACTCCGCTCTGCGCTGATCTTCCTGCCATTGCTGGACCTTGAGCTCTGTTTGAAAGACAGCCCTGATGAGCGAGTCCAGAGACAGCCCGGACAATCGGGCGGCAGTTTCATAGAACACCCGCGCGGTCTCCGGCAGGCTGGATTCAGTCCGGTAAAACCGGTAGGAAGATCCGGGACGAGGTATACTGTCGTCATCCTGTTCGCCATCACCGTTGGTGGCGTCTTCCGGGGAAACTACTTTTGCAGGTCGGAGTTGGCTGATTACGGTTCTGAGCTTGGCATCAATGTCTTCTTCGTCAATTTTCACCGCAGGCTCTGCGGGACCTTCGACTCCTGTCCGGCCAGTGGGAAACATATCTGCGAGTGGATTGGACACTACCAAACGAGTTAGATGTGTCATGGACAATCAAAATGCTTCACTATCACATACCTCTGCTGTCAAGCCAGCTATTCTCGTACCAGTCCAGGTAGTCATCCAACTGCTGGGTAGTCATCTTGAAGACATCTTTCTCGTCGACCAGGATTTCCTTTCCTCTGGGAAGTCTTCCCCCAGCAAACTCTTTGTTATCAAACAGTTTCTGCGTATGTGCCCACAGTTTCCAATCTAGAACTTGAGCTGCTGGCTCCGACGCTGACGTCGGATACCTTTTCAGCTCGTCAAAGGGGAAAAGCAGTTTCGTAGCAACGACAATTAGAGAAACTAGCTGGGCTTCCGGCAACGCCAGATATCTCAAACTTCTTCTGTCCGATAGCGGGAAGCTGTATGTAAACCCAACCATTCTCTGCAGCCGGTTTACAGCGACGTATATCTCCACTGAAAGTGCGATTAGCAATGTAGGCATTTGAAGCAAGTATTAGGGTTTTCTTACAGGGCAGCGCCAGTTGTCTGATATATTCAAACAGCATAAGCGGCGCGTTTAATGGAGGGAAAGAAACTCCGAAATCGCGGTTGTACACAATGATCATCTCGCCGACAACCCTGTGTAGGCGTTCGCTATTCAAAAGGGTCTTGAAATGCCTCCAGTCAGCTGCTAGCGTTCAAAAGTAATAAAAAATAAAAGGTTTCTTACTGGAGTGTCTAGGCCTGCCAAGTATCCCTGGGGAAGCCTGTCCCTCATCTCACGGGGAACTGATTTGACAGCCCTGATGAAAGGAATCTCTTCCCTCATAGCAAATCTAGATACTCCCATCAAACGTTAGCAGCACGAACGGCAGACGCGAACAGACAGGTATCTCTCACCGATGTATATCGCCGACACTGACTGGCAAACGCAACAGCAAAGCACCCAGATAGCAGAGCGCCAATGTCTCCACTAATCTGGGAGTATCAGATGCCTTTCTTGTATGGAAGGGCTGTCCAGTGTCCGCTTCGGCAGTGTCAGCCGGTTGGGAACTGAACAGCTGTGTGGATTCATCGTCCTCGACAGAATCGTCGAATTTGTCTGAGAGAGCTCGGAGTCGCAATGCCCAGAGGTCTCTCACTACGGTCTTGACGGGAACTCATCAGCACGGATTGAGAAAAAAAAACCTGTAGTCATCAAGAAAAAACAAAAGACTCCTACCTCTATATCCGCAGGGAACCCCTGCTTATGAACCAGGGCATGGCACTGCTTCCAAAGAATGAGTTGATAGGCCTGAATGAAGAGGCGGTATGCCTGTCGGCCACGATAAGCTAGGAGACATAGGTAGTCAACAAGGGAAAAATTCCTGAGCATCGAACTGAGACCTCTCTACTCACTCTTCTGGATTTTCTCCGCAGCGGCCTTTTTCACCCGATTCGTTCTCCCAATCTGGCCGAAATCTTCTGCATCTTCTTCGATTTGACGACCCTAGAGAAAAAAATTCACGAATTAGAAAACGCAAAAAAAAGGCCAAAATATTTTTTTCGTCAAACAGATAAGACAACTAGAGAAAAAGACTGCGATAAGCTGGCATACCTCCTGCTGGTGCCCTCGCCTACAGAACCAGAGCCCATTGTCCAGGTAATAGCGCGTCTCGCGGCACCCTTCCTGTCCGCAGACCCCACGGGTGACATACTCCATCCCGACCAGCAGTTCTCATTGCTGAGGCTGGGAATGGATCACTACGTGGTCAAATCGGGCGTGTCATCGCATCAAATAATGCATGCACGTTCTAGGAAACGTGTCGCTGGCTACCTAGGTTAGGTAGGTACCCAGATACCCACGTTCTAGAATAAATGCCTGAGGATCAAAAAAGGCTGCGGGTAGCGGCCATGCCCGAAACAGGGTAAAAGTTCGGGCTCGAACAAGCCTGCCTTGCCACCACACAATAAATTAATCTTCTGGACCCAAAGAATGCACTTTATGGAGACTAATAATAGTGACTGGTGATAATTTTCTACGAGCACGTAGTGCAGAAAGTAAGCAAAAATAAAAAAGCTAGACAGAAATTCTATACTGGTAGAAGAGCGAGATAACGCTGTGGAACAGTCTACTTCATACGTCTTGAACGTTGATAGTCGATATTTTTTTTTGTTCGTGGAGAGCTATTGTGAGGATGTCAAACTCCAAACTGATCTTTTGACAGTGTATGTAATATTCGGTCGTGTCAAGAGCAATTCATCGTAGGCTCAACCCAAGTCTCAAGAAAGCGCATTGACCGATATAGAGGAAAACAAACAAACCCAGAGGGGCCCAAGGCATTGGCAAGCCTCGGCAACGAGCACAAGGGTGTGAGTTCCCAAAACATCGTGAGAGGACATGAAGTTTTGACATGAACAAGACAAAGGAAAAAGGCTGCGTAGGATGCGTTTATTTGGGGGCTTCCTTGGCGTCCACAGCGCACTCCTCACCCATGGCAGACATGACGGTGACGTTGGTGTCCTTGCCCTCCTCGTACATCTTCTTGATTCTCTCACCAACCTCACCCTCAGGGAGCTTGACATCGTCCTTGGTGTTGCCGCTGTCGTCCATGAGGGAAAGGTAGCCATCGTCAGTCACATCCAGCTGGAGGGGGTATGTTAGCAAATCACTCCTGGCATCCAAGGCGGGGAACGGCCACTTACGAGCTGGTACTCCCGGCGGGTGACGTTGGGGACGTCCATGTTGTGGGTGGAAGGAGACAGATCCTCCAGCTTCTTGTTGGTGAAGATGTCGAGGGCGACCAGGTGGACCTTGGCGTGGCCGTGCTTGCCGGTCTTGGAGGTGGACATTTCGACGATCTTGCACGGGCGACCCTTGATCACGACGTAACCGCCCTTGCGCAGCGCAGAGCACTGCACAGGGTAGGTCATAGAGGCACCGGCATCGGCGCTCTCGAAGGTTTGCTCATGCTGGAGACAGCAAAAACCATGTCAGCTCACTGCCGTTTAACATACAATGGTTTCATTGGAACAAGAAGTCTCAGTCCTGGGTGCATGTCGCCCGCAGGGGAGGGAGAGGGTTCGAATGCAGCAAGGCGGGGCAGAGGGCATTCGCGAGGACAGTCTCGCAGGACAACAAAGAACCTACCTGCGCGTCGTCGGCCATGGTGAATGTCGAGAGAAGAGAAATTCAGAGCGAGTCTTGCGAGATGAAGCAGAGAGGATGGCCGAACAGGCGAGCGCGTCGAAGATGGAGAGAAAAAAAAAGCAGATGAGGAGAAGGGGAGTGGGACGAAATCGGTCAACCGAGCAAAAACTGTAGTTTTTCAGGGCGCTAACTTGGTTGTGGCGGGGTACGCACTAATTAGCGTGCCCTAGCAGGACGCGACGCTGGCTGGCCGGGTGCGCAGGTGGGCTGTGCTGGCAGCCGTAGTCGATTGAAAGCGAAAAGAAGGAAATAAAATAATCGAGAAGCAAGACGCCAATTCCTCGTCCTGCTGCCAGTTGCGACCAGATCAGTCCTGGCAGCAGCTGGCCTCGAGCAGGTATTTTTGATACACTCCCAGTACGAAAATTACGGGGCTCGTCGCGCGGTAGTGGCCATTGAGCACGTCTGATCGAGCATAGTCTGCTTTTCCTTGATTTTATATTATTTTAATTTTGCCTTATTATTTTTGTTTAATTTATTTTTCCTACAAAAAGTATAACGAGTACAATGTGTAGGCACGTTGACGTCCTCGTACTGCATGCGCGCTTCGTCTAGGGCGGCGTTGCGTACTGCCCAAACGGGAAGCGCTGGCAGCGGATGCCCCAGATTCCCGATCTGCCATGGCATACTCCATTTAGCAACGTCGCCTCAATCCCCTTGTCGTCATCCTCCTCTGGTCGTCGGTCCAGCTGTGCTCCTGTGCAAGAGCGTGTGGCAACCGCTCCATGCAGCCACTGATCGGAGCTGCTGCTGCACGCCGTTCCGTGCTGGCCTTCGAGGATGTGGCTTGATCGCCTCTCCGGCCATTCTCCCTCAGGCACGCCCCCTCCGTTCAGTAACCGCAACCGTTCATACTCTCCAGCTGCCCGGAGATCCTCGCGACTGTCGCCAGCGCCCCAGAATGCCCGACCCGCCCTGAACCCTCGATCGTCGTCGTCCTCCTCCCTGCTCGCGACCCCGAACGAGTCGACAACGTCGTTATCGGACGCTGCTGGAGCTTCCAATGGCGTTGTCTCCAAGCCTGGAGCTTCACGACCGCGTCCTGCGGGCGTACCGGATCCCCTCGAGGTGCTGAACAGGATCATTGGGAAGAAGACCCCCGATCAGCCGGTCGAGACGCCCGCAGAGAAACCAGCACAGCTGGTCGAGGACATTGACTTTGAAGGTCTCAGTCTGGAGGAGTTCGCTGCTAGCGGGAAAGAATCGAATCGGATTCTCCACAGTGAAGAGGGTGCGCAGACGATTCAGCAATGTAGGTGTCGACCGAAAGCACCCGGCATGAAGATCCTCGACTAAGCTAGTGTACAGTTGAGAGGGAGAGAGACAAGTTCCAGGATCTCCACAACGCCATTGCGGTCGGTTAGCCCGATTTCTCTTCAGTATCTGTAGATGCTGAGACAACTGAGCGGATTTTAGGACTGCGACGAGGTTTTGAAATCGGTCGAATCCTACCTGGCCGACTTTCAGACGGAACTGGGTGTCGTTTCGGCAGAAATCGAGTCCTTGCAGACTCGATCCATTCAACTGAACGCGAAGCTGGAGAATCGGCGCAATGTGGAACGCCTCCTGGGTCCGGCGGTGGAAGAGATTAGCATCTCGCCCAAGGCTGTCCGCGCGATCGCAGAGGGCCCGATCGACGAGAACTGGGTGAAGGCTCTAAACGAAATCGAGGCTCGCGCGGCAAGCATTGAGAATAAATCTTCCGGCTCACAAATCAAGGCGATAGAAGACGTGAAACCCCTCCTGACGGATCTGAAAAACAAGGTAGGCCTCGTTGTTTCCACGTCAAAGTCCATGCTGACGTGACTGTTCGCAGGCCGTCGAAAGGATTCGAGACTACTTGGTGTCTCAGATCAAGGCCCTCCGATCGCCGAATATCAATGCACAGGTCATACAGCAGCAGAACTTGGTCAAATACAAGGATCTCTATAGTTATCTTTTACGAGTGCACCCAACCCTCGCAGAGGAGATCACGCAGGCGTATGTCAACACGATGAGATGGTATTACCTGTCCAATTTCACCCGATACAGCCAGGCCTTGGACAAGCTCAAGCTCCATCAGACGGATCGCAATGACCTGCTTGCGGGAGATCCGTCGTCTCAGAGGAGTGGTGAGTTCTGTTACGAACGACCTGCGGCGTTGAAAGTTGCTAAGCATTATAGGGAATCTTGTTCCTGGTGGGCACAGGACCCACGACCCATTCACTCTCGGCAGGAGGATCGACGTGCTCAAGACCAGGAACCATATGGCGATCTCGTCCTATGTGGCCGAAGAAGACAAGTCCGTTCACGGGTTCGAAGTGCCATTCCGGAATTTCAACCTTGCGTTGGTCGACAATGTGTCGGCTGAGTATTCCTTTATGACGGAGATGTTTTCGGCCAAGACATTCCATCAGATTTCTCGGAGGGCGATCGAGATCTTTGAGCCGCTGTTTGCTCTGGGGCAGAGCCTAACCAAACAGCTCATCGAGAACACGACCGATTGCCTGGGGGTGTTGATTTGTGTGAGGTTGAACCAGCACATGGCCTTTGAACTGCAGCGGCGCAAGGTGCCCGTAGCGGACTCGTACATCAACGCGACCAATATGCAGCTGTGGCCGCGATTTCAGCAGATCATGGACCTGCACTGCGAGAGTCTGAAGAAAGCGGCGTCCAATGCGGCGCGGAGCGTCGTATCTGCTCTATCGTTGACCGCCGACGATGCTAAGCAGTCGTCCGCGCCTCATTTCCTCACGCAGCGATTTGGCCAGCTCCTGCATGGAATACTGGCGCTCAGCAATGAGGCAGGGGATGACGAGCCGGTGTCGAACAGTCTGGCACGGCTGACGGCGGAGTTTGATTCGCTGCTGGCGAAGTTGAGCAGAGGCATTGTAGACGCAAAGAGCCGGGAGCGATTCCTCTACAACAACTACTCGTTGATTTTGACCATCATTAGCGTAAGCCTTGCCGTGCTACCTGGTTTATTTCTTTGCTAATGTTTGTTAGGATACGGATGGCAAGCTCGCCGTGGAGCAAAAAGAGGTATGTCTAGTCTGTCCCGTTGACTTGGTTCAGAATATGGTCTGACATTCGGCAGCACTTTAACGAAATGCTGAAAGCATCTTCGAGGCGGAGTTAATTTACAGTGCGTTTTCTTTTCGAGTTATCAGTACGATACCAGTAGAGTTTGTCTTGACAATTCGATATTCTGTGGATAGTTTTATGTTCGATAGTATATTCATCTAGTATCCTAATGCAGATATATCAGCGTTGGCTATTCCTTCCCTAGATTTGCAACCTGTGTAGTAATAACGAGGAGAGAATTGTTGTAGTATGCATACAGTCAGGCTGGCAGTGGGAATTGATGCTCAAATTGAATTAGTCCTAACTACGAAATAGATCGCAATAAGATGCTGATCAGAGCGATTTGAGCCTGATCTGAGCCTCTGAGCTCGATGCCGCTGTGGCTGGCTGACAGTCCATGCCGATCTGGGCAAATTTGACGCTTAATTGGTCCAGCGAATACGCTGTAATATATGCAGCTGAACTACTTAGGTAGTAAGGAGATCTGAACTAGTGGGCGATCTAGTGCTAATATTGTACTCCGTAGTGCGGCTGACTGCCGATCTGGGTAAACTTGTTCCTAGTATTGCAGTATGTACAGCTGACTACTGATCTGGGTAAATTTGACGCCTTACTAGTCCAGCAAATGTAATGTATATGCAGCTGAACTATTAGTAGGGAGATCTAGCGCTAGCATTGCAGTGAGCTAATATTGCAGTAAGGCTGATTGCCGATCTAGCTAAATTTGAAGCCTGATTGGCCTTGCAAATATGCTTTATACGCAGTCAAGCAGGCACTTACTGCCGATCTAGGCAAATTCAAACCCTAATTTGTCCAGCAAATACACTGTATACCAATAAGGTTGGCAGTGAGTTTATGGCCTCTGACGTGGCAGTAATATGACTGCCAATTAGGACACCTTTACTCCTAATACACTGTATAGGAGCTGAACAAGTAGGGAGTTCCAGCGCTCTGAGAGATCTTGCAAGTACGGTTATATAAACCATCCTAGATGCCTTCCTAGAAGACTACTGTTCTTGTCACTATCATTCTCATCCAAGATTTCTCTATATACTGCCCAAAAATTCTCCATATACTTACTCATCACGATGTCTTCGTCTCGCTCCTCATCATCGTCTATACCCGGCAACGAATCACAGGCCGACAACGGTGCTCAAAACAACATACCCCAGGATGACGGAGGTTACGCGCCTTGTGGGCCTTATCTAGAAAGTGTAGACCCCGACTATTTGAAGCGTTTGGAGCAGGAAAAACAACGAGCAAACCGTGATTAACACATAAAATCTTCTGTGCTGACAGCAATGGTAAGTCTAAGTCTATCTACAATAATACGCTGAGAACTTGCCTATATATACTAAGCATATGTATGGAGCAGCCATTACCAGAAAAGATCTGGGAAAAACCGGCACCGCAAGACGACCAGTATGACGGCCTCTAGGTATACTACATACATACTGGTGCTGGCATGGTGGTTCGAAAAGACATCGAGCTCAGGCTCGAATCGCTCCAATCCGCAGTCTTTTCATGGAAATTAGCATCTATTTCCTAGTTAGGAGTCGTTCAATTTGAGCATCAATTCTCATTGCAAAGAGATTTGTTGGCGACTTTGGCTTCAAAATCTGACTATACGGAGTAGTGTTGGTTGTGTATAGGAGCCAGTAAAAATTTGTAAAAAAAAATTGATAAAAAAATCGCCTTCGTAGGTATCATAATAAGTTTCAAACACAGACAATTTACAATCAGAATCACTATTGGTATTTCCAAAAAAAACTTAGTAACTGGTGTACCTAATTAACAATTTTGGCGGTGTTGTACGGAGTACATTAAATAGCTGTCCAGCTTATCAACGAGCTTATCGCCGATCCGATCTCGCTCCAAACGCCGCGCCATTGCGGAGAAACCCCCATTCTTGAATTCCAACTTCCTTCATACTACGAGCTAACCAGCTCGTGTTTGTGTTCCCCTTGAGAAGAGCAAGACCAGTGAAAAACAGAAATATGGCCATTCGCCTGGCCGTCCCCGGCGCAGCTCGACGGACGGCGCTTTTTTCGGGCCGACGACGGCGATGCTTCTCCAGCACGCGTGCTGCCAGCGCGGACTTCACTCATGCGGTATGCTGCGACTGTCACCTTTTTTTCCCGCCTGACAGCTGGTCAATTTTTTTAGACATAATTTCTGACTTGACACGTCTAGGTCATCGGCGCTGGCGTTGTAGGACTCGCAGTCGCACGGCAATTGGCGGCCAGAGAGGGCACGTCGACGATACTGCTGGAACGGCATGGCGCCGCAGGGACGGAGACGAGTAGTCGCAATTCGGAGGTATAATTTTTCTGGGGAGTATTTCTATGCTGTTTATCAATGCCAATGATGTCTGTCTTCTAGGTCATCCACGCCGGCATCTACTACCCGGCGGACTCGCTAAAGACGAAACTCTGCGTCCGAGGGCGCGAGATGCTGTACGACCTCTGCGCGAAAAAAGGCATTCCCCATCGGAACACGAAAAAGTGGATTGTGGCACAGAACGAGGAGCAGTGGGAGGTCTGTCTCAAGCTGCACGAGCATGCGCAGTCGATCGGCGTGCCGACGCGCTTTGTCGGCCGGGAAGAAGCGCAGCAACGGGAGCCCGATGTGCGGGCGGAGGCGGGCATTGTCGAGAGCGTGACGACCGGCATTGTGGACAGCCATTCGCTGATGACGTTCTTGCAAGGCGACTTTGAAGATCGGGGCGGCGATTGCGCCTTTCAGACGGCGGTGACGAGGATCGAGCCGCTGAATGGTGGCCGAGAGGGATATCGGATATTTGCCCTGTCGCCGGACGGCTCAGAGGACTCGATCACAGCAGACGTGCTGGTCAACAGCGCCGGTCACTCCGCCTGTCATATAAGCAACATGGTCCTGCCGAAGGAGCGGCATCGGACGCCGTACTACGCCAAGGGGACATATTTCTCCTACGCTGCGTCGCGGCCGCGGCCCAGTGTACTGGTTTACCCGGCCCCGGTGCCGGGCCATGGCGGGCTGGGGACGCATCTGACGCTGGATCTGGCCGGACGGGTGCGATTCGGACCGGACGTCGAGTGGATCGACGACCCGTACGACCTGAAGCCGAGCCCAGCGCGGCTGCAGCAGGCGCTGCCGGAGATCCAGGCGTATCTCCCCGGCGTGGACGTGGACGCCATCGCGCTGGATTACTGCGGCGTGCGGCCGAAGCTGAGCCGGGGTGGCGCCAACACGAGCGGGAAGAGCTTCAAGGATTTTGTCATCCAGGAGGAGGAGGGCTTCCCGGGTTTTATCAACCTGCTGGGCATTGAGAGTCCGGGGTTGACGAGTTCGTTAGCGATTGGGGAGATGGTGGAGAGGTTGCTATACGGTAGCACTTCATGATTTTCAGCCCACCTTGTATAGAGTATGACTTTACGTTTACGACATATAGATGCATGCAGTGATATAAAACGACTGAATGGCTAGAATGGGTCAATCTGATATCTTGATAGATATAAGCTCGACAGTTGTCAACCTGCAAATAGAGATATCGTCGCCAATAGTACCGTGTGGTCACCCATTGATCGATGAAGAAATAATATAATTTCCTTATTAAGAGTCTCTGAATGACCTCGAGAGTATAAAAAAAAGAAGAGAGAGAGAGGTAAAAATAATACTAGACAATCCATCTCATATTAAAAATTTGCAAAAATGAATGGTAATAAAAGTATTTTGCTTACTTGCTTTATTTATATTCATACGTTGATATCAGATCGATGAATTGATGTAATACTTACTATGTGATTAATTATTCAATACTTTCAGGTATAGCAATTAGCTCTATAAAGAAAACAAGAGGAGAAGATAATATTTAGATTCTATCTTAGGAGCATTATTACCTAACTAACTACTTAATCGAATTTTTTCCCTATTTTTGGAAAAAAGCCCTTTTATTGTATTTTCACACAAATCCATTTATTCTATGTTATGCTGTAAAATCAGCAAAAATCATAGTGAAAATATAATAGGGAGACGAAGATCTTTCTCTATCGTAACAACTCGCTCGTTGTCCACGATAGAATAGAAAAGACAGTCTCTATCCAAGGACAAAATCCTGACTCCTGACCATCCAGCAAACTGACTGATTCGAACCAACCAACCCGCCAGCTAGTTGCAGGTATGTAGGCAGGTCCTGCTATTTCGCCGTCTCAACAACATCCCCCAGCGCAACAACCCTCAACTTCGCGCGATTGATGAACCTCTCCTCATCCTCTCCAAGCTCCTTGGCCACCTCCGGCGAAGTGAGCTTGGCGTGAAAGGCCTGAAAGGCCGCCTCGTCGGCAAAGGTCAGCTCGACGACGGCATCGTAGTCAAAGTCGGCCTGGCTGCCGACGAACACGGTGGCCGGGGTTTTGGCGTTGCGCTCTGAGGCGCCCTCGACGGGCTGGTCGACGGACTTGCGGGCGATGTAGCGGCGCGTGTGGGTGAGGGGGAAGTCTGGCCCCGTGAGGCGTTTCAGCAGAGGGATGTGGTTGGCCTCGTAGTGCTGCTTGAATTCGTCGGGCGAGATGCTTGGTTTGCGGTAGAGGAAGGCGAGGATTCTGTAGGTCATGGTGTGATATCGGTAGGTTGGTTGAGTAGAATCTTTCGATGTCTTTGACTTTGTTTCTTGAAGAACGCTCTGAGAGGAAGTACTGGGCAAGCACTGGGCAAGCACTGGGCGAGGACTGGGTTTCTTTTAAAATAGTCTCCTTGAAGGCGTCACTTCCTCCGTAGATGTCGATCACTGTCGTTCAGCCTGTAAGGCCGACAACGCAGGCAGCCTGATGCTACCGACGCAGAGCCAGTCATGCTGCGTTGTGCCATGGTTGGCATCTAAACACACCATCTTATCAGGATAGTGGGGCATTAATGGCATCATTGGATAGAGGGCGAGTCAGAATGCCGCATGTTATACAGCCCAAGCGGCGGGGCGAAATGTAACAATGTTGGTTCCATCTCCACCATCGGTTGAGCATGTGTTACCTACTGATGTACTTTACTGATCGACTGAATTCTATTCCGAAAATCCAGATACAGGAATAGTCAATCTGCGGTCAAATACATATACATCAGGCATGAATATCAGTTGCAGATTTTCTTCTTACACACGTGCATAAAGACATGTCCAATTTCCGTACTTTACCTCTTTTTTTATTTTTTTTATTTAGTTAACTTTCTAGGCATCTCATACAGAGGTAATTAAGTTACAGTAAAGTAAAAAAAAATAGAAATAGGAAGATGTTAGTCGAAGTGAAATAATCTAGAAAGACAGCTTCAGATCAGATCTTTGTATTACTAGCTACGTAAGTAGATGAAACCGTAAAATTATTGTTAGAAAATGCGCGAACAGCTCATAAACGCATATAGTAAACATGTATAGTTATAATCGTTAAAGGAGAGGTGTAATATCCTATACCCTATTTTATTCTTTTATTCCTTTCCCCCGCTTGAGCATTCCATTTCCTTTGTTCTTTACCCTGCGACGGGCCTAATAACTTACATGTATGAAGCAACGCTATAAGATCTCAATAAAAAAGAGCGTAACCAAAATCAGGATTTGGTATAAGCCAAGACTTACATATCTATCACCAGAGCTGATCAAAACATATAGAACTACGGCGTAAAGGCTTTAGTAAAGGCCGTATGAGTTCTAGATTACCTGTCTAGATCATCATACCTTTTTCCAATGGAAATTATCAGGACTGATTGTGCGGTTTATACGTTATATCTTGGGCAATGGATATGAGTGCATGTGGTTAAACAGAGTATAAACTCTATACCTAGTAATCCTACATCGAGTTTCATTCTGATATCTATACCTATATATCATACATACATATACATCCTACACATTTAATTTTATTGCTCACCAGTTCAATCCGGTCTTCCAATGAGAGCCTTCAGTTGCCAACCTCCTCCCTTCATATACCTTCTCTCCGCTGAATCAGCCAGAGCAAAAAGAGAAATTCTAAAGCCGTGGAAAGTGATATTGGACGATCCTTAGGTACTTTTCCAAAGGCTCTGTGATCCAGCCTGTAGAGCAGCTCGCTTAGCAGCGCTCGCACGGGCCGATAGGATTCCAGTCGGAGCTATTTGTCACAACCATTAGCATATATACACGTCAGGCATTTTCTTCTCTGCTGTCAGGAAACTTACGTCTTGGGACAATCGGTGGTAACTTCCCAAGACCTGAACCCCTTCGTAGTCTCCTCACACATATTCTGCGTCTCATCATTATAGTACGGATGATGCTTCGCGCCCGCACAGTTGGGCTCCTCGTAGAGGACCGGGCACAGCTGCTTGGGGTTGAACTGCGTCTGTGCCCCGTAAATCGTGACGGGGCTGTCGATGTTCTGGCAGCTCAGGGTGGTGTTGTCGATGTAGACTTGGATCTCGCTCGTTTTGCAGAATTCGTCTTTGTAGAAGGAGACTGTCCACTTGTCGTAGACGGTAGTAGAGGCGGAGGCAGAGGCTGCAGAGGCAGCGGCAGCGAGGATGAGAGGGAGATGGAGTAAGGAGAGCATTTTGGAAGCAAGGATGAGAATAGAACGGAAAAGGCAGATTGATTGATGAGATTGAATATACTTCTCGACGTGATGTCTAGACGGCAGTTTGTCACTCGAGACGTGGGACCCCGACTGTTCTATGTATTTATATCTTTCCCCTGCCTTCTCCGCCAACCTGCACCAACTCGTCTCCTGAATTGAGGCATTTTCGTAAAGTTTGAATTCAACCGATCGCAAGGTTGAGTTGTTGGTATTCGAATCCCCTGGATAGAATTAATTCTAGAACAGATTGACACTGACAGTCCAGTTTCGTACGTCACGCAGGATTTGGCCCCAGGATCCTTCCTTGGAAATCTGGGGTTGGAAATGCGGGATATGACCAAGCTTGGACAGGCTATGATTGAATACAGATTAGAGGATTCTATCTGAAACATGGAGCAGACAACCCCAACCTGTTGGGCTAGAAATATAACAGCTCAAAGGAATTTTAGTCACCTAGCTAAGACGTGCGTCACTTGAACAAGCTTTTCTAGGTCAGTGCTAGCTAGTCCTTGACAGGTAGAAATTGTGTTCATGCCTGAGGCTAGATTGAACTGAACTCTACCGACAGGATAAAATATATTCTGGATAACATTTCCTAAAAGAGTACTTATAACACTCATGTTGGTCGTAGCATTGGTCAAACAAAAAAACTCATACCACTTGGACGTACATACAGTACGTACTTCCTACTAAGGTAAGTGGCAGTCAGTCCGCTACCTGAATCTGCTGATAGCCTAAAACCAGGCCTTCAACGCCTCTGTCTGACAGTCTTCTCTTCGCTAAATTCAGGGCACAATTCCAGGAATATACCAAGTTTAGGGCTTAAATACACGCAAGTCATTATTAACATATTCATTCTATTCATTCTTTTTTTTTTAGTTCCTAGACATTCGCTTGTCATGATGGATTTAGATTCGGCCCCCAGAATAAATCAGGGGCCAGACAATGAAAATGCGAGGTATTTTGTTTCGTTTGGACCAGTAAATAAATAGGGCGGTGTGGCGGAACTTTATATAAAAAAATACAGTGAGAATCACGATATATTTATTAATATTATCCCTAGAGGTAATTAATAACTATGAAATTTCCTATTCCCAATCTAGACCAGTCAGTCCATCTTGCCAATGGCGTTCTGCAATTCAAATCAATTGTGTTGGTTGTGTAGATAGCTACCTACCTAGCTAGCTAGTTGTCGATGACAAAGAGAAGAGAAGAGAGAATCCATCGGGACGGCAGGTCTCGTATAAGAAAGACATCAAGTTGAATAATTATTGCGTATGTTACAGTTTTTTTTTCTGCTGAACTTTTCGTAGTTTCTTCCCTCCTTCTTCATCTTCTTCATTAGGTCTAGTTCTGTCTAGTTGCTTGCTTTGATATTTCGTCGTCTTCTTCTTCTTCTTCTTCAGGAGACACCTGCCCTGTTTGTCACAATGTCCCCACCATTTTCTCGCTGTCTGTCCAATCAAGAGGCCCTGTCAAGTCTTTGTTTTTACTCGCCTTAGGCAAGACAGAAATGCTATTACTGAGGAATAGTCTCTAGCACAAAACCAGAAGAGTTACCACACAAACAGGGCAGATTTGGTGCAGGACAGTTCTGTGACTTGTTTTACGTAGAGACAGTCTTGTTTCGTCCTCAAGCTGCTCTCAAATTAAGAACCCTTATGGAAGATAAAATAAATACATACCTCTGGTAGTCCAGCAATGAATTTTTTTTTTTAGTCTAGTCTTTATGATCTATTTTCCAGACAGGCTTTCTAATTACCTATATATATCCCTTACTGTGCGTCTTGTCTGTCATATCCTCACCGGACTGCAGTATATTTATTTACTAGATTCTCGAACATATTTAATAGAGAGGATGAGAAGGGTCATCTATTGATCTTCTGCACCTCATTAAAAATAAAATAGAGAATTTCTAAGCATGCTATACTAGACTCCGAGTAGTGCTTTTCTTCTTGTACAGTACAAGACTGTCATGGAAATAAAACAGGAACTGATAAAACAAGTAAAAGAAACAAGTAAAAGAAATCCTAGGAATGGATAAGAGAAAGTAGTCATGACTCATGATAGTATAAAACTGTAAAAAGCAGCCCTTCTATAGAAAACAGTCGAAGGACAGCAGAGGTATCCACCGTAGTAACAATCCTAACAATATCAACTAATAGTTAATATTAATATTAACAATAATTAATTAATCGAGTCCATTATTCAATTATTAATCAATTAATATCTTAACTATTATTTACTAACTATTATGACACAACTCCTCTTCCCCCGCATTAACTAACTACCTAAACAAGTATATTATTTTCTACCCCACAAGACTATATCCCCTGTACCCCATGTCATGCTAGCTGTCTATCTGTACAAGCAATTTGTGGGGAACCGAATTCTTGGAGTACTACCTACCTATCTCGGTAATCACTGTACAGTACTGTACATACATATTCTGGGTAAATTATGGGAACTAGCTACCAGCTACCAGCCCCACGAGGATGGGTGGATGGACGAATGTCCGTCGGTAATAAAAATAAAAAAAAAATACAAATACGAAGAATGGAAGGACTCCGTCCAGTTAGTATAAGTGTCGACAGTGTATAATTCCTAGCAAGTAGCACTGTACTGGACCATTCTCCTTGTATACTATACTGTACAATATCATATCATATCTTTTGACTGTCACATCAGGTCAACTACCTACCTATATTTCTATATATATATATATATATATATATGGCGATCAAAAAGGTACATACATACATCCATCCATACCAACACCACTCATATAATCCCCCTGACTATTACTGTAGGTCATCATCGTCGGCGCTGGCCCCTCCGGCCTCCTCCTCACCCTCCTCCTCGCCAAAAACCAGAAGAGCATCACAATCGAGCTCTTCGAGCAGAGCGCAACACTGGACACGCAGCCCCGCGCAGCGCACTACGCGTCGCCAGCAGCCTACGAGCTGGATCGGGCGGGGGTGCTGGACGACGTCAAGGCAAGAGGCTTTCACCCGGAAGGGGTAGCGTGGCGGAAGCTGGACACGAGTTTCATCGCTGGGGCGAGGAACAGTACGTCTCACCGCTACGTGATGGTCTGTCTCCCGCTCGACAAGTTGGGGATTGTGCTCTATGAGCATATCCAGCGCTATCAGCACACTGCTACCGTGCACTGGTCACATCGGGTCGTCAAGGTGGGACAGGATGAGCATCAGGCGTGGGTAGACGTGCAGACTCCCGATGGGACGATCCAGCGCAAGGGAGCAGACTATGTCGTTGGTTGCGATGGTGCCAGTAGCACGGTGCGCAGAGAGCTGTTTGGCAGTGAGTA